TTTTAATAGCCTTGGCTGCTTTGATTGCTCGTATTTGATATGCCTGGCCTGGGTAGTCTGATGGCAAAAGTAGATTATATTACAACTATTTACTAGAATAAGATTATAATACAAAGTAGGTTCGCTACGCCTACAAACGCTTTCCCGGCTCACTATGATAAAGCCACTAGTACTAGACTTTTGTAGAATCTTCTGACTACATATAAACCATCTCCCATGTGAATGCCTTCGGAGGCTCCGGCCCGCACCAAACCTTTGCTTCACGTTTCTACCTCTGTTTGCTCCTTAAGCCTACCCGGTATCTCCTTTGCCAACTGCCTAATACCCTATTGTAAACCGACACGCGCATCTGTCCTCTCGAGCTATACAGACAGTGTCACTGTCGCTGCCATTGTATACTACGCCCCGCAGTACGCGAATACTGTTTCGCGTTACCTTGCCGGATCTCTCCTCTCCACAAGGCCGACTATGTCTCGCAGGCTTACTGCGCTCATACCCTTAACCAAGCAGCGTAATCGCAGTGTTTCCAACCCACTAACCAAAACGTCCTCGTATCCTTTTCCTCCCAATGTATAGTTTGTAGTTGTATAAAATAATCGAAGCGGAAACTTAAAATTTATCGGATTGGAATCGGAAAGGAGTCGTAATCCCGTATATCGTCGTTGGGCCCGTCTCTACGGGGCGCTTCTCTGAAATCCGTAGAAACCTCCACACCATTCCCTCAGTATACGCAACGTTCCTTGTGTTCCGTGGACCCTTTGCAGACGCTTTCCGCCCTTCTAAATCCCTCGTTGGACTATGGTCGGGTCGCTTTCCGTTTTGCCTGTTCTACACCGCTACTCCCCTAACCATCTGTAATAATCTCCAATATGGTATACCCTCATATTGTACTTGTTGTAAGATTCCGAATCAATCTGCGACGCTCCAGAGGTGTCCTGTCGACTTTCAATACAATCGCTTCCTTCGCAGGCTCTGCTTTCCACGCAGACTCGAAAGGGCTGGTTCCGCTTCAGGGGCTCACAGTGAGTACCCCGTCAGGCTCTGCTTCCCACGACAGACTCGTAAGGGCCGGCACCGCTTTGAATTTATCGATTGTAGCTTCCATCGTCGGATGGTTTTCATCTCCATTTCGCTGGTAGTCCTCTGTTCCGGGCTCATCGCGAGCGCTTTCGTCGCGCTCAGCTGCAAATACCTTCAGTACCAGTAAAAGCCTCCGATAAGTGTACGACCACCACCCAGCTCCAGCGACTCTACTTAGCTCTCCGAACACTAGTAAACTAGGTCGAAGGTTCGTAGGATACACCACGTACAGGTGAGAGTCTTCGCATCCCGGGATGTTTATGATGTCTCAACGCCAATGGAACATTAGAACAATAGGTGATTTGCGGTGTCAGGTACAAGGTCTTTTTGTTTCTCCTATCATGCTGCATTGCCTAGACCAAACATCAATGCTCATTAACCTGGTTCTGATCGAATCATTAAGATTCTCATGAAGCTTCAGTCGCACAACGAGACGTTGAGGTTTGTAAGGCTGTTCAGTTCTCTGCCACATACCGGGCATTGCTTTACTGATATGTATTTGGAGATGATTGTTAGAAGCTTTCATCCGCCTCACTTTTAAAATGGAGATAGATCCTCTTTGTAAGTGAAAGTTAATTAATGTATTCCGCTGCACCCCCTTTTTGATCCCTCCTGTAATGCTTCTAACGAATGCTATCGAAGATCGTACTGACACTAGTCAGAGCTATACTAAAGTATCTAGACCATGGCCACCAACATTCAACCAACTGTAGCAAAGTCACCAAGCAGCTTCAATTGGGTGCCCCTGTTGTGAAGTTTTGAATCCTAGTATCCGGGAGGATGTCCTCGTTTAGGCATTATGAGTGCATAATTTACACATCTGCTGGAGACACTATCTCCCCGTACATAACAATTATACGTCAGCGGGAAACTGGAAATGTATCTAAACTTCAGATTGCGAGGATGGCATTAAGTGCAAGCACCAGCTCGTGAGGTCCAAATGCTAATAGCGGGCAATTGAGATTGTTATCAAATTATTTGATCTCAAGAATAGAAAGATGCATTGGCAAAGATCAGTTTCACTTGATTCAAAAATTCGAGATACTGATTCCAAAGCGAACTTTGAAATCGAACAATCATGACATGAAAACATAGGCGTTTAGGACAGAATCCCGATACTAATTAGAGCAATAAATTAGTAATCAACGAGGTTTATATTTATCAGCGTTTGACCTTGATGTACTATGATCAACTTCTTGCACGTGCCCTAGATTCAGACTAGAAACTCAGTAACTTTCTTTTGATTATTTTGAAGAAAAAACAAATCCTCATCCGAGGTTCGCTATGTGCTTTTCTCTTCCAAATCAAATTGGTTGCCTCGCGAAGTCGCGAAGTTGCATGAGTGTGCTCTGTCTAGCAGCCCGCATGTTGAAGTATGCCAAGTTTATCTTGTACAGTATCAAGAAGAGGTTGTTGCAGAAACGCCCGGCATGACCGGCATATGTTGGAGTTGGATTTGCCATGAGTTTTCTTCCTTCATTTACTATGAAATGGCGGTCAACGTGAATCATTCGTCGTTTATTTAAGCCAATATTATTTTCGGCAATCTTGCCCAGGTCCGCGTCGGGTCAGGTTGGACAGCAGGCCTCCCGACCAAAAGCTTCTTGGTAGTCTCACTGCTGCGGAAAGGCAAGTGTCCTCCCGGCCGCTTGCCGGACTGTATCGGATCTTGGTAGAAGACGCACCTACGTAAAGGACTCATACTTTCGAGCCGATTCTGATGGATACATGGTTTGAGAAAGCTTTGGTTTCGATATGATTGGGCAGATTTTGAGTGGGGGTTTTTATTTTGATGCAATAGGCTAGCCAGGGGCCAAGATAAGGCTCTTAGCTACTCGCAGACATTGATCTCAGTCGAGAAACATTGCCATTGGTGATTGGTTATAGTTAGCAAAACTTGCGCTTTATTATATGATATCCTGTCAGATGGCACAAGAATATTCCGCCAGGGGCAGCAGGACAAGCATATTATCATTGAGTCTTTAGTTCTTATATCCATGAGTATAGAAATAGAACATGTCAATGAATGTCAAAAAATATTTGGTTTCCCATCTATTGACATACTTTAAATTTCCTGTTTTGTATATACTCAGAGGAAATTACTGTGCATTTCCTCATTATAATATATTTGTTCTTCAGCTCTGCTCACAGACTCTGAGATCAAAATTACTCCTACAAACTTCGAGGTTTCAAAATCGAGTCGCAATGTTAAAAGTCATCTAATTGACGCATGCATCTAAGCAGTTAGTTGAAGAACGATTCATCCCGACTGTTCTAGACTTCCAGATTGGATTTGGTACTCTGCAGATAAAAACCCTTGGCTACATGTAGATCGTTCTCAGGGTGATCCTTGCCCTGCATAGTGAATCACCTCCAACCAACTGGTGGCTGTAGTTATTCAATCTTTACGATTTTAAAAATGCTTATCAGGGCGACGATTAATGATTGCAGGGTTTTAAACACTTGCAGGTGTAATTTCTTGCTTTAACGATCTTTTCATTTTCATGATAACATTTTTACTTTCTCTGTAGTGTTCCTGTTTCCCCTGCCTGCAAGTGAAACACCATACTATTGTAATACACCTGATTTCATAACATCTATCCACAAAAACACGATTTTTGACCTCATTATACTTCACCTCAATCACAAATTTCAAAGTTTAATTCAACATTATTTCATCAATATAACTTCAAACCTGAAATTTTGTTGATATATATATTTCTTCAATTGATAATCAGATTTTACAAAAAGAAGATTGCTTGGAACAAATTCATTTTCTTTACAAATCAATTTCATCACGAAAAATATCTGTCGCCCAGTTCCAAATGCCAAGTCAAACAAACCAGGGCGATGAGAGTTCTAATCATTTGAAAAGCTCAATAGCAGTAATTATATAGCTTATTATAATCTAATTAGCCTTCCGAATATGAAAATACATTTTCCATAGGCCCATGATAGTGTTCCCTGTTCCTTACCGTCCAACCTTTTTTGTTAATGTTCAAAATTTAAGTCAATTCCTAACATTTTTCTGTTGTATGAGTAGCTTGTCTTATGTTTCCGCCTCCATTGACTTTACTATTTGTAGAGTAGAATATAGAAAGAACGAGCAATCTTTCTGGGTCCGATTACGTCCACAATGTCGAACGGCAAGTGGCAGAAATGTCAAATCACAACCCCCTGGTTCTGGGCTTTCTTTGCATTAACACCTTATTAGCAATGGTCCATTGGTTAGACCATGCGTGAACGGTACCTCCAAATATCTCATGATCTTCAAAAACACAGTCACGAATGCCCCAGACGTGTTTGCCTTCATCCACATTCACATTTAATCTTCCCACTGCATGAAATGCAGCCAGCGCATACGACATTTTCTCAGACCAACACTCAATTAATCATTGCTAAATTAGCACAGGCACATTTTGTCTCTTGTTTTTTCAGTGCTGCGTACGCAACGCAGTATTTTTTCATCGTGGAGCCTCTCTCTTGAGCCTTGTATCCACTGATTCCAGGACTTTCTCAATTTATTCTTGAGGCTTGAGACATACTCATGTGGTTGGGGGATTGTGGTTAGCTTGGATTTAGATTGAACTTCGTATAAATTTTAATCCAAGTTTATATATCGATTAAATTCTAACATACCAAGGTATTTCTTTGAGTTATGTCTGAAGATATGAACCACCGAAAGTGTTTTAATTTGACAATAGCGTAGGGGGGTCATGCAGAGCCTCACTAATAGCCCTAGCTCTTGGTTTGTACGAAGTAGTGGATTTGCTGGTAGTACCGGAAGAATAACATTGGGATCGAATCTTAGCCTGGCGATAGGCTACAGCGCTTAGTGGCCGGTAAGTTACCTTGGAATAATTTATTACAGCAAATGAAGAATTATTCTTCAACCAGAAAAAAGACGTGTTTCTCAAGATCAACTTGCAACAAAGGTCAAGAGTGTAAGAAATTAAAGCCAATTTCATTGAAAATGTTAATCAGAAAGCTAGACTTGCGCAAGGCGATCCTTCCATATACTCGAGACTCGTTAGCAGGCTCTGATTGAGAGTTATAAACTGATAAGGGTTTGTATTGCCCTGTATCGTTCTCGCAATAATGACTCAATGAGAAGCCGGACTAGTAGAAAGTCGTTGACGCTAAATCCGAGGGGGGAATAAACATTAATTATAACAATTCAAAGTATAATTGCGAATGTTTATTCGTTTAATTCTTTTGCATTGAAATGATACGGTCAAGCCATCTAACGCGGTCGATACTACTCGAGTACTGCATGGAATCCCTATCTTGTACAGCATGCTCTTGATATAGGTATTGGTTGCATGGAAAAACATTCCATGGTACAAGCAAGGCTCATGGTATTCTCAAATAAATTGCGCTTACTCATTGACTCTGTACTACTGCAATCCGTGGGTATACATTCTTTTGGCATCTATATCTTGTACTCGAGTAAGAGGCCTCTATAAACTCTATAATGGAGTGAGGCGTCTGATGTTATCTCACCAAACAATATAAATGGCACCTGAATAAGGGAGTCTACTTCGAAATGACAGCGCATTCACTGATCAGAGCTCGAGTAAATCTGAGTAATTGATGAGTTTGCAGGCTGGAACATCTTTCATGGATCCACCACTGAAGGATCAGATTACGCCTTGGAGAATAGCTTGGGAGAGTCGAATTGCATGCCAGAGAGACAGGGAATCGGGAAGTACGGATCCATTTTTTAGCTCTACCAGGAAAAAGATTTGATGGCAGCAGGGAAGAATTAAAGTCGAATTTAGGTTACCAAAGCACATCGTTTACTTCTAAAAAGGCTTTTTTTTTATGAAACTGTGATTAAATTTCTAATTGTTATTCCTACCCCAGTTCTCAACCATTCATGAAGCCTACTTAGGTATTCCATATCTGATTATTGGAAGATACGAATTTACCTTGATTCTAGAATATCATGCCTCCTCTCATCTCACGATCTTTTTAGTCTTCTCAAATTGTCTCAGAAGTAGTAAATAAATATGCGAGAAACGTAGGAGTATTGAACTGAAAAATCATGTATAGGGCAATTGGATCCGACAATCAGGTAGAGATCGCTACAAGTCACGGTTTATATTCTTTAAATTATGCATATTCAGAGCATATTCAGATTGGTATATACCATAGTGACTTCTACGTATAATAATCTGTGCTATAGGGAACGAAAAGCTTCGCTAGCAATAGTGTTTTGATAGCCGCATGTGCTAAACTGGATTTTGACTCGCTAAAATGGCCATTTTCGCAAAGGGGAGCATATGCACACATACGCACATGGCATGAACTCACACCGAAGAGCGTGGGTTGTAAAATGATTCGCCAAAGGTGTATGATATATCCCACAAAGCTTAGCCTCACTGAAACTCTCGAGGTAATGGTTTGCAAAATGGTTTGCCAAAGAACTAAGGAGGTATATAATAAGCATTACCGAATCAGTCCTGCTCATATAACTGTACACATTTAAACCCACACAACCTTTTCACTTGTTTTCCAGATTAAACATACTTTATTATCATTATCCCCAATTTTCACATAGTTTTCAGTCTTTATCTCCAATCTTAAAAATACTCATGACCTGATCCTATTATTCCACATACCAAAGATTCCAAATCTTTTGTGGTACACATCCGGTTGTTAAAAAACAGTACACCTCAAGCGCCGCCAACGCCTTTTTCCCTTCGAGTATTACTAGTGTTAGCACATCATCCTTATTCACGTATATTTTCGCTTCCATCAATAGTTCATCATGGTCAAGCAACCAGAAGACCAGGCGAAACCTGCTAGCAAGTCACGGCAGCAGACCAAAAAGAGGTACGTCCTTCCAAGCTCACGCGTGAAGCAATGTCTGACAATCTTTAGGTCTCGAAGTACGAAAGCGTCTCAAGGCTCCAAGGCAGGATCGAGCAGCGCCGATAACCAGACAAATACACTCGAGACGAATTCTCAACCCGAAACAAGACCCATTTCCCAAGAGCAATTTGTAGAAGAGGTTGGAAGTTTCCTCGATGGATTCATTATAGTTGAAGATCAACATATTCAGGTCGATAATAGATCCATTCTCGCACAATGGGTTTTCGTGAACGACGATACTGGATTAGAAGCCCAAGGACAGGTTATTCAGGGTATCGTGGATCGTCCTGTCTCCGCAAATGACATATACGATCCTAGCACCGATCTTATTGGCATCGGCACTCTGTTCTCTGAACCCGACTACTCTAATGGCAACGTCGTTACGTATGATCAGAGATCGTATAGTGACCCAGCTACGACCACTTCCGCCGAACCCACCACAGTTGAATATTTACCGGTCACAACTCAATGGGAGCTTGCGGAATGGACATATGAGAACCCCTATGAAGGGATCGCCGTAAGATCTTTTCTTACCAGATGTTTCCGACGACTAACATCTATCAGTTTTCCGAACGTATTCAAAGATACAACTATGATCTTTAGACCAAAGCCGATTGGTACGCAGGGTACTTACCATGATGAGAAGTAGGTATCATATATCATATAATCCCCCCAATATCACTAACAGCGGTTTAGAATTGTTGAAGGAAATTCGGTCGTTTCAGAATTGCGAAGTGATGATAAAAACTTCATGTCACACTCACTATCATACCATATTGATCCAAAATTCCTGATCTCCGAGATCAATGTCTTCGATGTCCAATCGATTCATCCGATATCTCTCTGAAATTCGTTCCAATTGTTTTCGAAAGCGGCTACTGTCTCGGGAAACGAAATTATCATCGAATACGCCAGATATATAGGGTACTGTCGAACCTCATAACTTTCATTTGCACCTCATCGGTTCGAGTATTTTCAGAATCACGACACGTTCTAGCATCTCAACACCCAGACATTCTCATTTAAGCAACAAATGTCAGAATCGCCCTGTTGTCGTAAAAGCTCAAAGTCAATATTGAATAATACCAGGCTCTGATTGCGTTGCATCGAACTCCGATTCACGAACATCAAGACTCCTCTCTGGCCTCCAAACATCCATTTGCTGGTCCAGCTTTCCAGTCGGCGTTCAATTATGCTATGCCTGCTAGAATGTGGCAACGTGGTATTCATTTATTCTTGGAAATTCTCAGACACCGATTGCCTGTTTCACTTCAGCACATGTTTCCATTCATGTGTCTCGCATATTCAATGATGGCTTTGCTATACGAGACGGTACCTGCCTTGTAAGATACCTAGATTGGATGTCTAAGAGCTCTAGGAATGTACAGGAGGAAGTCGTTCGCTCACAATGAAACGCAAATCGCAAAATATTCTGGTAGTAATTGAGCTTCCTCTTTCACTGGGAAAGTGAGTTCTCAGATCAAAACTTTCTTTGCCCACAAAAAGATTCGCATCGCCAAATCTTGCAAATAGGTTTGGCTCATTCGGAACAGCAATTTGTCGCAAAATACATTGATCTCAAACTGTATTTAGCAATTCCAAAAAAATCTTTTCATTTGTAAAATAGAATTGGGATGAGAGAAAAATAGAGAGGCATTCTGGATATAGTTTTCGAAAGGTTTCTATAGAATCAATCAATTCCAAAAACGTTGTTTCGTGAACACTTATCAAGTCACTGCCAGTGCTGTTTTGAAAGATACTTCTATTTATTGGATTTTACAAGTAAAATTTTCTTACGATCAGTAGTAGCCCAATGATGATTTCCTCAAGATTTCCATATCGCTTTAGCTTCTTCCCTTGTTTGTAGTAAGACCGCACTCTGTCTGTGGTGATACAAGGCTGGGTAAGATCGGAGCCACAATCAAGGATACTGGATCAGCAGATGTTGTACAGTTCACCTTGTATGCAGCCCTACGGCACGGATAGCTTCCCAACAATATCAACAATACTCCGTATAGTCCAGAAAACCATAGATGACTCGTATCTTGAAACGACTATGTAGAAACGCACAGGAAAAAAGTTGGGGGGTGGTGTCTTGATGAAGGAAACTTTCGATGGGAGACAAAAGTTATTTTATCCAAAAAGTGTCATCCGATGGTCTTGGCAGACCTCGCTTAAGCTAACCCCTGAATTGGTTACATTGGAACCCCACTTTACCTTTGCTGGACTGCGATTTCTGTCTTTCGAGTGGATTACTCTTCCATCCGGAGTGTATATTGAAGGAGTAAACTCTAGGAACACCTGTGTCACTCCCATACATAAAGAGGCAACATACGTTAAGACGCTCTCAGTGGCCAAAGTGTGAGGAAGTACGTTCATCGCCCAATTGCCAAATTGCCCCAAACCAATTATGAAGCTTCATATTTGTGTTACCCCAGAATATACTAACCTTAAGCAAAAACATATCCTTTGCATCGCCTACGCCGAGTTCGAACTATCCCGAGCAACCCTGCAATCGAGTGACGCCATTTTGGTCTAACATCAAAAAAGTTCCGAACACAATCTTTAAGTGAGTTCCAATTAACGTCGCGGCCTTTGTGTTCGTATTTAGGCTTAAATCCTAGCCAGGCACAATCCACGTGGAGTGGATTTGTGTAGCGTAGAATCCCCTCATCTTATCGTCAACCTATGGTATGATTACCGTAAGAGATTCCAGTAAGCATTCGTATATTACTTGCCGGGCTCAAGCTTGATCGATGAGATCACATTCTCCAAGGGATTTTCATCGTGCATTATCCACCAAACTTTGTGTAACATTCACAAGGTTCTGGGGTTTTTTGGAGTATATGATCAGCTTTAATAGATTCGAGCGATCTAGCTCACAAATGGATTTGAATGATAGTAAGGGCAATGATCGACCAGTAAATTTAATATCTATGCTAATTATCAAAACATTCTTTGGATAGCTTGCATTGTCTGACGCATCTATAGCAAAGGAAATACCACTTCCCAATTAGCACCTTTTTGCAACAGAGCCGTTGCAGCCTCATCAGACCATTGGATACCGAGGCACATTCAATGGTAAATAGCATCAATTGTTGATCAAATATTGTACAGTATCTGGAATAGAATCAGACAATACTAATATCGCACTATAGTGGATACTTTCCTGCATGTGAATTTCCAGAAGAAGACGATCTACATATTCCTCTATCATTGTAGTAGCTCAATAAATGGTTTTGATAATTCCATAAAAGTAGTGGAAGAAAATTTAAACCATGCGCTGGTCTATTTCGCCCAGTTAGACTGTATGGCAACCGTGTCCCGGAAATCGACACTGTACTAATACCCTATCATGGTTTTTGGTTAAATTTTGATACTGAATTATCCCCGCTTAGTGCGAGTTGAGTATACGATAGATGAATCGCTCAGATGACATTATTCTCATCTCATTTATATGCAACAAGGTGTGCATTCCTCCGAACATGACGCGTTCAAGTTTATAGATGCTATCGCGAGCTTCAGATATGATCATCTGCATTCTGTGAAAAATACGATACCCAGCGAATGGATTTGAATCCCGGTATAGACCCATTATTACTCTAATGTTGTAGGGCGACATAGGTGTAATTCAGAGGCTGGGAGATCTCTTCTGCACTATACCGTTTTAGCCGGTCCTTTGCCGGAGTGTATTCATATAAACTTCTCGATTCGATGGAAGCATCATGTAAGACGCATGCGCATGAGTTATCAAGCGAGCTTGGATTGCGCAAAAATCCAGCATGGCTGAGCGATGGCGGAGTATCGTTTTGGCATATTCTTTGTGTGAAACATGGTGAAAAAATGTTCCAAATACAGCACTGTAATATACAAATATAACGAGCAATGTCGAACGGAACAGGTGGGGATGCATGCATTCTTGTTTGATGGGTTGCAGAATGGTGCGCCAGGCAATCATTTGCCTCATTGTGAGCACTGCATTCTTCATAGCCTCAAAGCATGTTCAAGTAGCCCCAAAAGGAATTTTATAAAATCTCAGGAGTCGGTGAAGATATGTTTTATAGCTCGAAACTATTGAAATGAGACTCACAAGATATAGAGATTCGAATATTAATATATTGTTTCAATTCGCCGGAAAATAAGATCATGTCAAAAAGTTCGGTGTTTCTCAGCATAACCTTCTTCGCTTATTGTAGGACAAGATTGAGTCACTATCCACGAGTCAACGCAGTCATCGTTGGTATCTGGTTAGGCGGAGATTCTCTTACTAGTCATGAAGATATTGACGATGTATTCAAGTATATACTTCGAAGTTCGAAGTATTCTAGCATCCAAGTCCTCCTCCGACAGCACCATACCATCATGTCGACTCTTTTCAATGATGATGCTTCATATAAAGAGTGTGAAGTCTCGTATAAGAGACCCAACGTAATTCTGTTCCATACCGGAACTCAATTCGAGACCCTCATATCAGTTCCTAATAACTATCTCTAACCAATAACCATACCAAAAGCACGTGACATATACAATACTAAGTCCCCCAATTTGGTTGCCTCGCTGCAGAGCACCCACAGAAATGATTCCCCAACCCAATACCGGAATAATACATGGTTGCCATGTGCTCGAAAATCATACAACCGCACATCACAACACATTTTCCGGCACAGTAAAATCACCCAATCCAATCAAATACTGAGATCTCACCACACCATCTCATCCACGCTATCTCACACCATCTTATCCACACATTCACTCACACCATTTCATCCAAACATTCACCCACACCAAAGCTTAGGTTCCACCCAACCCAACCAGCAATAACGAGGCATTCATCTACTACACACCATCAGCTCTAGGCGTTTACCATTTGCCCTTTCCCAGCACACCCTCACATTTAAAAATTTATGATTAGCACCACACTCTCAACCTCGCACACTCACTTTAGTCCGCAATTGTCGCCCAATACGGTCAATCATACACCACCTAAGATTTCGTTGTGAAGCTTTCACTATGGACTCCCCACAAATCTAATCGAGTACAACTCCATCATGGATGTACAAAACAAGTGACAAGAATATGCCGGTAAGTACGTCTAATAAAGATTAATAACCGTAACTCTCATTAATACCAAACCAGAAGTTATCCGAGGTATTCAGTAGTCCGGACAACAAAAAAGACCATCTTGAGTCTAGCAAAAAGCAAATTAGCTAAACTTGTTGGAAGTGCAGTCTAGGCACACACATACAATATTACTACTGTCGTACCTATTATGATCTTAGTGATATTCCAACAGGTTATGATCCTGTGTTAATCAATACTTACACCAGTATATCAATTAACATACTTACAAATAAATAATAAAAGAAATAACTCTCTTTTTACCTTACACAAAAACTCCTTTATTAAATATGAAAACTCTGATTTTTTAATAAAGTTCTAATTTATTATAATAACAAATCCCATGGACGTTATACAAACTTGCTAGGGATTTGTTATAATTTTCAACAGCAACAATTGAACCGATTTCGAACAGATCTACAAAATAGCATTAATGACTATTCAGATATAGTCTATTATCAATAAAGACAAGAAAATGCCAAAAA